GCGCCGTCGCTACGCTGGGCGGCTAACATGGCGGCCTCCAGCTGGCTGTGCGCGGTCCTCCTGTTTTTGTGTGCCTCGGACCTTCTGCTGCTCCCTCCTCCTGGGGCCTGCGCGGCCGACACGCCGGGCGAAGCCACCCCACCTCCACGGAAAAAGAAGAAGGACATCCGCGATTACAATGATGCCGACATGGCGCGACTTCTGGAGCAGTGGGAGGTCCGTGCCACCCTCACTCCCGGGCCTGTCCCCATCTAGATCCCTTCTCGCTAACCCTAACCCCCTTGGTCTTGTGCCCCTTTGACTTCTGTCCCCTGGCCTTTCGCCCTGTCCTGTACCCAGGGCCCTTATTGACTGTTCCAAGTTGCTGTTGACAACCCCCCTCCCACCGTGGCTTGGCCTCTCTTCCCCAGGGTCGTCCATTGCAGTGGCTTCTCGGCCACTCTTCAGGATTTGGCCTTTCATCAGCAGGCCCCACTTCCCTTGCTATGCCCCGGTGGTCTCTACACTGATCTTGGCGGGCAGGGAGCTGGGAAACAGGAAGAGAGCGCTCTTGAAGAGCGTTCCCTCGTTCCGCCCTCCTGTTCCGGAGTGAGTGGGCTTCTGAAGGTTGTCTCTCGAGAACGATTTTTAGCTTTAATAGAAATCCTTCCAAATATAGAGGGTTTCCGACTCCTTTCGGTGTATGTTCCTGCCGGGGCTTTTGTAATTTCGTGGGTGGACTTATTTTACTGGTTGGGGGAGCTAAGGGAACACAGGTTTTTCATTCAAGAGGACAGTGAATTTGTCTTGTGAGAGGCCGTTTTCTGATTTACTTGAATGCACGGGGGTGTGTAGTCACAATGAGTATGAATAAGGGGAGGTTACTGATCAGAAGCATGTTGCAGCCTTCCCCCTTTCCGAAAGTAATTATACTGCCCTATTTGATTTGCACAGCTGATGGGCAGTAGTCACACAACTGTACTCACTGTAACTTTGGGCAGGTTGTCTCTTTCTGCAAGAGAACTCCCCAGGTTTGCTTCCGATGCTGATGTCTTAACTTGTAGCTAACTCTATATTGTTGCAAGGGGGGTAAAGACTTTTGGGCATAAGTTTAAAACACTCCTGCTTTCATGTTTTCTGTACCCAACAGAAAAATTGGAGTAGTGGGGCCATGGTAGTTCATGTTTGTAATTCCAATACTTGAGAGACTGGTGGAGGAGGCTAGTTAAACCTGGACTACATAGTAAATTTCAAACTAGTTTGGGCTTCACAGTGAGACCCTGTCCCAAAAAGAGAAAAGAAAAATGATAGCGGATTTGAATGGACATGTGTATGACTAATGGGGAAGCCCTTCATTCTCTGCTCGATTTCAAACTGGTTTTTTTTTTTTTTTTTTTTTTGGACTCTAGTAAATGCCTTTTAAACTGCAGAAATGAGCAAGGCATCTGACAGAACGAGTAGATAACAGAAATTACCGTAGTACATAGAAACAAAAAATGGTTGGCTCCTATAAAGATAAGATGCTGTGGGAACATCAGAAGGCTGCAGGGAGGAGGTTCATTTTAGACAGGATAAGGAGAGTATGTGAGAAGAGTCTATGAGAGAGACCTGGGTACCAGGCAGAATAGCAGAGACCAACAGGTTAACATTTAATACATTTAACTTGTCATTTTGGTCTGGTAGAGATCTCTGTGCCCATGTATGTTCCTCAGTGTGTGTGTGTGTGTGTGTGTGTGTGTGTGTGTGTGTGTGTAGGTCAGAGAACAAGTTGGGTGTTGGGGGGGGAGTCAGTTCTTTCCTTCTACCATGTAGGTTTTGGAGATTGAACTCAGGTCATCAAGTCTGTCCAAGGCAAACACCTTTTACCACTGAGCCAACTCATCAGCTCTCTGGGGGATTTTTATTTGTTTATCTGTTGTTTACATTTTTCTGTTTATTAGTTGATATTCTTGTTTGTTTGTTTGCTTGCTTGCTTGCTTTGGCTGTCCTGGAACTTGCTCTGTAGCAGGCTGGCCTTGAATTCACAGGAATCCGCCTGAGTCTGCCACTCAGGTGCTGGGATTAAAGGCATATGCCATCACTACCTTATTAGTTTATATTCATTCTTTTTTCTTTATGTCAGCACAAACAAATTCACCTAAGCTTGTGAATTTGGTCCAGTACAGATCTCTGCTTTGGTTTTCTTATATGCATTGTGGAAGGAAATGTTGGTGTTCATCTCAAAGCAGGTGCAAGTATTAACTAAGAAAACTGGAAGAGTACAGCTCATAATCAGTATTCAGTATCAGAGCTAATTAATTTAGTCTGGGTCTAAAGGAAAGTATTAGTGAGTGAAGGTTGCTGGGAACCAGGTCAGTGAGGTCTTGAATATCATAGGGTCTGCACTGTATTTAGAAGTAGTGAATGGGTGGTTCTGATGGGGGTGAAAGTTGTCTCACCCAAATATTACAGCACTACATATCGATACTTAATCATCTCCACGCTGTTTCTAGTCTTTTTTTATGAAAACATAATTTTACTAGCTATAATCAGAACAGATGGACTTTAAAAAGTTATGTTTGTTTCCTCTGGTAGCTATTAAGCATTTCCCCTTGTACCATCTTTTTAGCTATAATTTCAAGCAAGTTTAGAATGTGCCCTGGAGCTGTTGGGTTTTGAATAGGGGAATGCCAAGTTTACAACTAAACTTGCTGGAAAGTGGGGGATGGGTAAACTGGGGGGCAGGGGCTTTGAAGTCTGCTACACAGTATCTCCTTTAATCTTCTCTCCGGTGATAAGGGAGTCTCTGTTTCCTGAAGACTGACCTTGAGCTATCTGGAAGCAATTTGCCCAGGGTCACAGCAGGTTAGTCTAGTTTGGAATTCTGTCATTTGACTTCAGACCCTATTCTTTTTTGTTTGTTTGTTTTTTTGTTTTTCGAGACAGGGTGTCTCTGTGTAGCTTTGGAGCCTATCCTGGCACTCCATCTGGAGACCAGGCTGGCCTCGAACTCACAGAGATCCGCCTGCCTCTGTCTCCTGAGTGCTGGGATTAAAGGCGTGCACCACCAACACCTGCCCAGAGCCTATTCTTTAACCACTTAGCTACACTGCTGCACACATTGGTGTGCACTGTGCAGGTGGGCTGTAATGAGGACATTCAATGTTACACCTAAAGTCTGCACCAATGACAGGAGGGAGAAATATGATCTTGTGACCCTCGTTTACTGCTCAGTCTTATCCAGAGGGAAGTGTGTGACCCTCATCTTCTATCTCTGCAGATTGAGCTACTGTATGTAGACACTACAGATGTGAGCTCCCTTCCCAGGCAGCCCTGGTTCTCCTCTGAGAGAAGGTTCTTCTGCAGTATAGTCTTTTATCAGTGCTCTAACATGAGTGTTTGCTGAGGGCCCTGCCTCAGGTGTGTGCAGAGGAGGCAAGGACTCTGTGAAAACTGATGGCGAGGCCCAGCTGGTGTTGGAAATAGATGTGATTTCATTTCTTTGTGGAGGCCAGAGGGATTGAAAGCCAGAAATAGATATTTAACTTTCGCATTAGTTCTTCTAGTAAATGTTTAAATTGTGCTTGTTCTTTGAGGCTCATCTGATTCCTTGAGCAGTTTCCTTTGAAGGCTGGAGATAAGATGTGTCCAAGTGGAATATTCTAGTAACTCAGTAGATGGTAGCTATTATCAAGGCCTCTGAAAGAAGAAAAGAGTTCAGCTTGGTTGCCTGCAGACAACTGAGAGACTTGGAGAAACCAGTTGAAAATGCAAGACTGGGAGTGTGATGCATACCTGTAGTTCTGGCTTGTGTCCTGCTCTATCATTCTCTACCTTATTCCCCTGGGGCAGGGTCTCTCACTAAACCTGAAGCTAGGTGAGTGACCAGCAGACTCAGCCATTTTCCTCCCTCCACCCCAGTGCTGGGATTATAGGCCTGAGAGGCCATGCCCAGCTTTTAAGTTGATATTAGTTTTTTTTGGTGTGAGCCACAGGTCAGAGAGCAAGTTTGGTGTGAGAGGTCAATTCTTTATCCCACCATGTGGGTCCTGGGGATTAAACTCAGGTCATCAAGTGTGCCAAAGCAAGTGGCTTTTACCCACTGAGCCAATTCAACAGCCCTTTTGGAGATTTTTTTAATTTGTTGTGTACATTTGTTCTATTTACTAGTTATTATTCTATTTATTAGATGTTTATTGATATTCTACTGTTAATAATGCATTCTTTTTTCTCTTTCATTTCTTTATGTCCATATGGGGAGTTATAAATCCTTACTATTTTTGATGTTCATATTATTCCAAATTTGGCCCTTAAGCTGCTTCAGGTTGGCGTCTTCGTCATTCTGATGTGGTGTGTGATTCATTGAGCACTTCTTTCTGACGCAGAAAGATATTTAAGGTTTCATTTTTGTTTCACTTGCAATGATTAGGCTTTTCTTCAAAGAACCTACATTTTAATATTTTTATCCATTCACTCTGCCTGTGGAGTCAATCTGTGCCTACAATTCCAGTCTGATTCCACAAGGAATGTTTGTGTCTCCCCCAAGTGAGAAATCTGTAGTCTCCCTCAGCATGTCTATACCTTAGCCTGTTCCTAGAATCCACAAAAAGTGCTTTCAGAATCGCTAGGTCACACCATTGCACAGAGCAGAGCTGCCACCTGAGATTGAACATTTGTGTGCAGTGGGTTGCAGGATTTAAGTATGCAGCTGGAGGAGGAGTTTGTTATGTTCTGCTGGGGATGGAACCTAGGCTCCTGGGCATGCTAGGAAAGCACTCAGTCATTGAGCTCACAATGGGTTTTGAGTAGTGTGACCCCCACACACCTTATTGAAATACAGAACTAGTGAGTCGATGGGGTTACAGACCATCATAACAGATGTTCCTTCATGTTTGTTCTCAGGCAGACATCTTTCTCCCAAAGAAACCAGTGTGATCATTTCTGTCATCCCATATTCATTTTACCTGTCCTTAATACTTTAAACAAGTGGGATTGTATACTATGTCTTTGTGCCTATTGTGTGTTATTTTTTAAAAACAAAGTTGCCTTAGTGATGTTGGAGATTGACCCCCAAGGCCTCACACATGCTTGGAAAACACTCTACCAATAAGCCACATCCCCAGCCATTTTGTAGTCAAGATCTTGCTAAATTGCTTAAGTTGGCCTTGAATTCTCCAGCTTTCTCCTTGATCTAAGTCATTGGGATTATGAACCTTAGCCACTATGCCTATATTTGAGATTTGTTATAAGTGTATTTGATTTTTTTTGCTAATTACATTTTCATAACAATACCTGAATGTGGCTGTTTGTATAATCTACCACGTTGGGTAGGTTCTTTAAGACTGAAAACATCATAGAAACCTATATGACATATAAACCCTGAATGATGTTAGGGGAATCTTTTTGTTTGTAGTAATTTGGTGAGGTGTACCCCTGCTTCTGACATCCTGGGCAGTACCTGTGCAATTGGAGAGTCTGATGACAGGGCTAATGATCCCTTTCTCCTGGCAGAAAGATGACGACATAGAAGAAGGAGACCTTCCAGAGCACAAGAGGCCCTCTGCACCTGTTGACTTCTCAAAGCTAGACCCAGGCAAGCCTGAGAGCATCTTGAAAATGACAAAGAAAGGGAAGACCCTGATGATGTTTGTCACCGTGTCAGGGAACCCCACTGAGAAGGAGACAGAAGAAATCACTAGCCTGTGGCAGGGCAGCCTGTTCAATGCCAACTATGATGTTCAGAGGTAAAAACCCCAGGCTAGGCAGCTTTTCTGGGTTTGAGGGGAGGGGTGGTTGCATCTGATTATTAAGACAGGGTTTTACTGTGTAGCTCTGGCCATTTAGTCCAACTGGCCTCACTCTTCACACTTACAATGATCCTCCTGCCTCTGCCTTTCCAGCACTGGGATTATAGCTTTGTGTCACTTCACCTCGATGTGTGCTGGGCATTTTTCTGGGACTGAAGCAGGGTGTCTTTTTTGGCAGTCTTCCCAAGGATCTTGAACTTTTCCAGTCCATGAATTCCTTTAAATGTATTTAAATATTTTTTCTTTAAGCATTTGGGTTTTTTGTTTGTTTTGTTTTGTTTTGCTTTTTTTTGGTGCAAAGTCAGTAAGTTTGTTTTAATATCTTGTTTGATATTGAAAGTTATGTTGAACTTTGTCTCTAACTTTTCCTTCATCAGAATAAAGAATTGTATTGCTTAGTTGAGCACAGTGGCATATGCCTGTAATCTCAGCACTTGGGAGGTGAAGTCAGGAGGCTCTGAAGTTCAAAGGCATTCTTATAACAAGTCTTCTTGAACTGCATGAGACCATTTATTAGGGAAAAACAAAATAACCTCCCCCCCCCAAAAAAAAAAACCAAAACATAAAACAGAGATGGAAGTGACATTTCAAAATGTTAAAAATAAAAATGGGGCACACACACACACACACACCCTATCCCCCCCTCCCCCGGCTTTTATGGCATTGACTTCTGTCTAGATCCAAGCAGGATGCTTGTTTTGAGCCCAAGGAACATTAAAGTCAGCAGCCACTTATCCCAAGGCAGTACAGTCTACTGTTCTGTGTTTATGTGGAACTTAAGTGTGGTTATGTGCCCCAACTTTCTCTGACCCTTGGCACCTCACTGGCATTGCTAACTTGTTGCTCTCTGTCTAGGTTCATCGTGGGCTCAGACCGTGCTATCTTCATGCTCCGGGATGGGAGCTATGCCTGGGAGATTAAGGACTTTTTGGTCAGCCAAGACAGGTGTGCTGATGTCACTCTAGAGGGACAGGTGTACCCTGGCAAAGGAGGAGGAAGCAAGGAGAAAAATAAAACAAAGCCAGAGAAGGGTAAAAAGAAGAAGGAGGGAGATGCCAAACCACGGGCTTCCAAGGAGGACAATCGGGCTGGGAGCAGAAGAGAAGACCTCTAGCAGGTGGCATACTTCCCGCCGGTCAGGCAGGACCAGACACAGCCCCTTGCAGGCCCGTGGAGTGAGGAACCTGCATATCAGATGACATTCTCATGTCTTCTAGAAAGGGTCTGTGCATGACCTCTGGTCAGTATCACAGTTACTGTATGAAGGCTTCACACATGAAGGCAGGGCTTTGTGATTGGTAGCGGACACTGGCAAAACATGCTAACTGTGGCATCACCTGACATGGAAACTTGATAGATGTTTTGTACCTCTTGTATCTGGTGAGTCCTTGACACCTCCAGAGTACCACTCCCTCCTCTTCACTGCACAGACTTGATGTGTTTGTGCGTTATAAGCTCTCGTCAGACAAGCCTTGAGAACCTGTGGCTTGACTGAGGCAGGCATTGATTGTGCAGTTGGTGAAGATAAGTGTGCTGTATGAGCAGTGCAGCTGGCTCTGCACGCCCGGGATTCAGACAGCAAGCTCATTATGCAGGACATGCGGATTCACGAGATGGTGCCACCCAAATCCTAAGGAATCATTTCAGATGGCTTCAGCCCTCCTCATCAGTTCAGGAGATCCATTGTCTGTCAGTCTTCCTGTGGTTGTAAGGGGATGCTGTTCTTTCTCATGTGAGGAGAGAAGGGTGCTTCCTTTGAGGGCTCATGCTCTCATGGCCCGACAACTATAAAGTTGATGAGGAGGGACCAGCAGAATCTTCCAGAGTGAGCCTCATCTGCAGTATTTCTAAGTGTTTTTCTTTGATAAAGTGCCTAAATTTGTGCTTTTGTATGGTACTCTAATGGTGTGCTACTGTTGCATCTGGGGTTTGCTGTTCATGGGTTGGAGCCTATCTAAAAGAACATTTCTGTGAGGATGCCTTTTCTAAGAACTTACATTCTTTAAAACCTCAGTTGTGATTTTAAGAAATTCAGAACAGTCCATGTACACATACATGGCTAGAAAGTGTCACTGTCAGAGTGTTGCAGTGTGGAGAATTGCCCTACCCTGCTGCCAATACTTCGTCCCAGTGGAGCTACTGTTGATCATTGGTTTTTCAAAAATAAAGTACGTTTACCAGCTTCCAGTGATAAATATATATTCTGGCCTCAGTTTGATCCCTATTTATGTTTCTCTTAGTGAGCCATACCCTCTCCCTCCCCAGCTCAGGGTATTCTGGATGCAACCTGCTGAGCTTCTTCAGAAAGAGGCCTTTTGTGGTCCTCATACATGTGAGCCTGGGAAGATGATCTGCTGCTGTCCTGTTTGAGGGTGCTGCCAATTCAGAAGCTGGGACAGGGCACCCAGCCTGGGAGTATCTGGGCCCAGCAAATCTGAGACTAGCCACATCCCTGGGGTTTGCCTATTTTCACAGGAGGCAGTTGATTGGCTATTGTCATGTCTGTAGCCCTGATCATCTTGTCCCGTAGCTGGAGGCCTTCATGTTGCAGACACAGGGTTGTCACTGCTTTCTGTGTAGTATGAACCAATTTCACCAAAATCATGCATCATCTGTAATGTACATGGTGATACTAGGTGCCAAGGACAGTGCAGACATGGCAGAAAAGACAAATGGCCTACAATGTAATATGGTAACCGTGGGGAGAATGGAAGAAATGTGGAATGAAGGAGGCCAAGTGGGTGGAATCTTTTACCTTGTTGGGAGGTCAGTGGCTCCACCAAGGGCCAGAAGAATACATAGTTGAGGCAATAACCTCTGCAAAGGAGAAGCAGCAGAAAAGGGGGCTCCAGGAAGGCTGTGGAATAGTCTAGACTGGGGAGTAAAGACTTCAGGGGATGCTGAAGTTTGGGGTACCTGAGCAGTAAGTACTGTGATAGGATAGAGAGCCTCCCAGTGCTCAGGCCTTTAGCCTCCCAGGTTTACAGGTAGGGGAGCTTGAGCTAGCACTCAGCCCATGTTTCTTGCTGTTCCTAGTTTCTGGCTGTGTATTCCAAGCCATAATGAACAGATTTCCCTCTCCAAACATATACTTAATTGCTACTAGAAATTATATTAGCATATGAAGATTTCCTTTTATTACAACTCAATTGTTTGAAATCCAGAAAAATCTAATTATCTTCCCTAATCATTAATACTACCCAAACTGCCCAGTGTTTTTGCATTATTTCAAATCTCTCAAGCACGAGGGGATGGGGTGTATTGGTGCTTGCTTCTTTGAGTCAGGTAGAGGAGAATTAAAGTATACGGAAGTCATTGACTTACAAACTATGGATTCCTTACAGTGGTATCAAGGTCGGAAAAGCAGGTACAGTGATGCATGCCTGTAATCCCAGTGTTTAGAAAGTAGAGATGGAAGAATCAGGGGTTCGAGACCAGCCAGGTCAGGCCAGGTTATGTAGTTTGGTTTTTTCTTTTTCTTTTTCTTTTTCTTTTTTTTTTTTTTTTTTTTTTTTTTGGTTTTTCAAGACAGGGTTTCTCTGTGTAGCTTTGGAGCCTATCCTGGCACTCGATCTGGAGACCAGGCTGGCCTCGAACTCACAGAGATCCGCCTGCCTCTGCCTCCTGAGTGCTGGGATTAAAGGCGTGCGCCACCAACGCCCAGCAGGTTATGTAGTTTGAAGCCAGCCTCACCTACACCTGAAACTTTGACCCCTACCAAAACAACAACAACAACAACAAACAAACAAAAAAACCCACCACTAAACAAAACAAAAAGGAGTAGTTGAGAGGAATCTGTCACACAACTTATATGTACTCAGAATTCTTGGTGTACAGCATTCTCTTAGCATAGAGAAGCTTTCTCAGCTTCCTCCATAAGTTGGCCCTGTGTTTTGTTCTCTAGTCTCCTGCTGTCAGAAGGACCTGCTGCTGTTAAAGTGACTGCAGCTGCATCTGAACAGCACAACAGCTTCACTGCAGTGTCCGGGACCACCATCTCCTCAGGGATGCTCCTGTACTGGAAATTGGTCCTGGCACTGAGTTAGTTATCAGCATTTCTGAGTAGTAGTTCCAGGACAACCAAGACTATACAGAGAAACTCTGTTTTAAAAGACAAGACAAAACGACAACAACACAAAAGGACTGGTCACCCTCTGTGAGCATTATGTTAACCTTTATGTTTGCGGGACAATGTGGCAGGTATGATTTTTCTGGATTTTTCTTCAGCACATCACATTCTACCCCTTTGGACAGGTCTGAGGTCATACCTTATTGTTACCCATGTGAGAGAGTGGTTTTTCTTTCTAGCAGAGTCTAAGAGTCCTTACTTATAAAAGTCTTTTTTTGTTTTGTTTTTTTACATTTGTTTATTTGTGCAGCATATATGTAGGCATGCAAATGTCCTGGATCCTATGTGGAGGTCAGAGGACAGGCAACCTGTTAGAGTTGGTTCCCTCCTATTATGTGGGTCTCAGGGACTGAACTCAGGTCACCAGGCTTGGCTGCAAGTGCCTTTACCCACTGAATCATCTTGCCAGCCCAGATCTTTCTACTAACCAACATTCTATCATTTTGCTGGGAAACATCTTCATGCTGATTTTTTTTTTTTTTTAAATTTTCAGTTACAGATTCAGCTCCCTCTTCTCTGGTATAAAAAATTACATGAAATTTATCTTTTATTGTCAGTTTAGCTGTAGTTTTCTGTACGGTTTTTGCACGGCAATTTTTTTCCTTAGTTCTAAAACATTTTTGTTTTGCTTTGTTTTGTTACTTTGAGACAAGATTTTCCTATGGTGCTTTAGCTGATCTCAAATCCTTCAAGTAGCCCAGGCTAGCCTGCAACGGAAGATCCTTCTGCACCAGCCCCTTGAATTCCTAGTTTACATGTGTTACATGCCATGCCTGTCTCTGAAATGATTTTTAAATATCCGTCAGTTTTTAAATCTCATCTTTGAGCTGTTTGACTTAAAAATCAACTTTTTATTAAGTTCTCCAACTCAGAAAAACTCAAATGGAGACTCTCCACCTTGGCTTCCCCTCCCCCCCCATAGAGTATTTGTCTGTATTGAGATTGGGGATATGGCTGAGTTAGTAGTGCTTGATAGCATGCACAGAGACCTAGAGTCAATCCCAGCCATCACTTAAACCCAATTTGATGATTTCACAAGTACATATGAGACAGAGGCAGGAGGATCAGAAATTCAAAGTCATCCTTGGCTACATAGCAAATTTGAGGCCAGCCAGCCTTATGTGTTAGTTACCCTCGGCTTGATGTATTCTTTTGCTGTTGGCCAATTCTGAATGAGTAGATGCCAAACCTATCTCTTTCCTCTTTCATTCAGTGTTCAGTAGACACAGCTTTTCAGCATTTCCCAGCCTTGAGCCAATAGCAGCATTTGCAGTGAATTCTCCTGGACCTCCCTCCCTGCTCTGAGCTGGGAAGATTCGATCTCTAGTTAGATGCTGCTTTCTCAAAACTGAACAGTGAGGAGAGAAAGGTTCAGAGAGCTTGGCCTTGTTTGGCAGGTGGCCTCTGCCTCCAGTGCTTTCAGGAAATGCCTATACTAGGGTCTTTATCCCAGGTTGGGGAGAAGCAGCCTGGACTTTAGAGCCTCCTCCCCATTAGATGTGGACCTTGGCCCCTTTGTCAGGACAGGATGCATGTTGTCTGCTTTGTTAATCTGAAAAGAAAGAAACCATTTTCATTTGCACCTCCTAAAGGAAAGGGCTCACAATGTGTGATGTTTCTGTTTTTTTTTTTTTTTTGTTTTTTTGTTTTTTGTTTTTTTTTTTTTTTTTGAGACAGGCTTTCTTTGTGTAACAGCCCTGACTGTCCTGGAACTCACTATGTGGACAAGGCTGCCTCCAGAGTTCTGGGATTAAAGGTGTATACCACCACCACCTGGCCCTATAATTTGTTTTATGTATAACAATACGGTTTGCATGTTAAATAACACTGTAATAGAATCATTTGATAAGGGTTTCAAGATTTATTATTACTATGTTTTTAAGTTATATGTATATGTGTACATGTGTGCACATTCCCTCAGAGTCCAGAAGAAGACATCAGATATCCTGGAGCTAGAGTTATAGCCAATTGTTGGCTACCTGGACTTAAGTGCTAGCAACCCAATGCAGCCCCTCTACAAGAGCATTGTGTACTATGCATTTATTTATTTGTTTGTTTATTTATGTATTTGTTGAGACAGTGTCTCACTATGTAGCCTTAGATGGCCTGGCATGCTCTATGTATATAGACCAGACCTTCAAGTGCTGGGATTGAAGGTGTGTACCACCATACCTAGCTTCATATAATTTTGAACAGAAGAAAAAAAAAAGGAGAAATTTTCAAGTTACAAAATCCTTCCCTCCAAAGCATTTTTTTTTTTAAATCACTTTGTCTAAGTAGGTGTCAGTGTCACAAAGGGACTAAGTCATGTCTGATTCCCATTGTTGTAATGGTCAATGGAATTGGAGAGCATGGCTTCAAAGAAAGAAAACATTGGATTCTTCTGGGCTGCCAGAATTATTCTTGCTGTTTCCCCATAGTAAAAGCTCAAATTCTCTGAATTCCCAGGGTTTTGTTTTTTGTTTATGAATAACAATTGAAATCTTGTTTGTTTGTTTGTTTGTTTGTTTCTGAAGTAGGGCCTTGCTCTGCAGCCTTACCACACCCATCTAAAATCTTGAATTTTATTAGGATGATATCACAAGGCAGGTTGTGGTAGCTCATGCTTGAACTTCCAGAGGCTGAGATGTGAGGATCATTGCAAGTTCAAGGCCATCCTGGGCTAAACATCAAGACTTATTTCAAAAATAAGTAAATTCACAGCAATGGTTAAAAGCTCTATGAAAGAAAGAACTTGGGCTGATTAGATGTCTCAGCAGGTAAAAGTGCTTGGTGAAAACCTGGAAAAACAGACAGACAAATAAATAAACTAACAAAGTTTGATCCCTGGGTCCCTAAATAGAAAGACAAGAGGACCAGCTCCAGAAAATTTGACCTCCATGTGCATATCATGGCACTCAGTGTGTATGCTCACTCACACTGCACACTACAATAATAATAAAATAAGAACAAGTGATGGTGAACAGCTGTAATCCAATACTTGGGAGAGGAAGGCAGGAAAAAGCAATCCGAACCATCCTCAGCAACAGAGGTTTCAAGTCCCTTCTGGCCTTCCTAAGACTCCATCTCA